TTTTTTTTTTGCTCAGTTCCACCCTCCTTCTGGGTGGGGCAGGGAACCTGGAACTTCCCTTCTCCTAGGGACCGCCCAACGTGGGGCAGGGAACCTGGAACTTCCCTTCTCCTAGGGACCACCCAGTTACAGGACCTTTCTTGTGCACCCAGCGGGGTCAGGAAGTGCGATGCTGTACTAAGTCCTCAGGACTTAAGAGCCAACGGATCTCCCTGGGGACCTGAGTCAATGTGTCACATCAAGGAGGGCCCAAGCACATTCGGATCGTCCTCCCCAAGAGGGAGAGCCATAAAGTGAGGAACCAGGCCTCGCTGGTGGCGCAGGGGTTAGTTAAGTCTCAGCACTATGAAGTTACCCAGCCACTGCAGCCTGAGTAAAATCCCTGGCCAGGGAGGTGACCCACAGGGCACAGCAGACCTCTCCTGTCTCACCCACTGTTTCCCACAGCAGTGGGGTTCAGTAGCTGTGCTTGTTCTGCTCCCCACTCTGTCTCTGGTGACTCCTCTCACACACAACCCCTTCCCCCCACGCCTCTGGCCTATACTCCAGCCCTTGTATACATAAGTAAATAAAATAAATCTTTAAAAAAAAAAGTGAGGAACCTTCTAGAATGGAGGAGGAGAGCTGCAGCAAGGCCCCCAGAACCCTGATGTTTAAAGGGAAGAGGGAGATGGACAGCCCAAGAAGACACCTGACGGGAAGAATAGGGTCCACACGGCTCTTCTGCACGAGTCTTGGGACTCTTGAGCTGCTGCCCGTGGACTGCCCCAGGGAACCGACAGGTGGATGGTGGAGAATGGGAGAGTGGAGAGGAGAAGGTGGACAGGATGCATCGGACCCAGAGCAGGCTGAAAAGGCCACTGTGGGAACACAGGTGAGCCAAACAGAGACCCGCTCAGGAGGAGGCAGTTCTGGAAGGGACCCGCCCTGTCTGACAAGGACTGAAACCAACATTCAGGGAGCCTGATCAGAGCCCGAGGAGTTGGCAGGAAGCAATCTGGGTGGGGTTCAGGTGTGGAGGCTGCAGGCTGAGGGGCCACTGCCACTCACGATGACCGGAAAGGCAGACTTAGGGACCGTTGCCAGGAGACAGACTGGCCAGGCCTGGGCTTCGCGTGGGTAGGGAAGGAGGTGGCTGCAATGGACGAGAGCCTGCAGGTGCTGAGGCTATGTGCCTCGACTTGCCCGAGACCCTCAGTTTCGCTCACAGGTCCAAGGTCCACGTGGCTGTTTGCACAGCTGTTCGTAGCAAGCACGCCCACTGTTGCCAGAAAGCGAGCCAGCCCTAATGCCCCCTATCGAGGGACTGATGAGCAGGAGGCACCCACATACAGGAATAGTGGGTCAGGCAGGCGGTCAGTGGACGACTGGGCCGAGCTGCAGCGTGGGTGAGCCAGGGACAGAGGCAGGCGGAAGAAGCCAGCGGGCGGCCCCTCAAGGACCGCCAGGACCCGAATCCGCTGGGAAGCAGACACAAGAGACCAACCCGGGGACACAGAAAGCCGCCTGTTGGAGGGAGGAGGCAGGAGGACGGGAAGTCTGGCGGGAGGAGGGCTGAGGGGTGGGGTGCGGGGATTCTTTGGGGGGAGTGATAAGCCGCCCCAAAATTAATTGAGGGTGTCATAGCACTGAGTAGACCAAAAACCATTTACATGAGTAAATTGTGTGATATTTAAATTCATCTCTAAATATAGTGAGCGCCCTCTCCAAAAACAAGGGCTAGTGGAAGATCTAAAGATAAAGAGCTGGGGCTTCCCCAGTGGCGCAGGGATTAAAGCCGCAGCGTTATCAAGCTGTCACCGGCCACGGTGGCCTGAGTCCATCCCCAGCCGGGGAGTGACTCCCAGAGCGCAGCAGACCTCTCCTGTCTCCCCGCAGCAGTGTTTTCCAGTGGATCCACCTGTTCTGCTCCCCGCTCTGTCTCTGGTGAATCCTCTCAACCCTGCACTTCTGGCCTGGACCCCAGTTCTTGTATGCATAAATAAATAAAGAGTGGGTGTCATGCAGCCTGTCCCCAGTCCAGAGAGGGCACTGGTCATTTCCACCTGACAGATGGCAGCCGCAGGCCTGCCTGATTCCCACAAGAGAGCACAACGCCTGCGGAACCCACCGCCTGCACTGGCTAACAGCAGCCCTTTGTATGGCTGGTGCTAAGGTCAGCGCCATTTTATGGAGGTGGCCACTAAGGCCCAGGGACTGCCCAGGCAGCAGGCGGCAGGGCCTGGGCTGTCCCACCTCAGAACTGTCCCACCTCCACCGCTGTGCCACCTCGCGGGCTCCACACTCCCTGGGGCAGGCTCGTGGGGCAGGCCCCCTAGAAGGCTTTGCTGCCCTCCACTCACAGACACTTGGCCCTCCAGCCCAGCCACATCAAGGAAGTTAACATTAAACCCGTGAGGTAATTCTGGAAGGCTGCGCCACGTGCTTGACTGTTCCTAAGGTCCCCCCGATCATCCTTACTTGACACTTGATGAAACGGGGTTTCTGTGAAGGGGCATCATTTGACTCAAGTCACACTCAGTTTGACTAAAGGAAGAAGTCGTTGCACACCAGGCTGAGAGGCCCTGGGCTCTGTCTTGTTCCACCGCCAAGGTGGGCCCCAGTAGCTGTGTGGAGAGTGAAGGAATGACCTGGGGGAGGGGTGTGAGTGAGACTCGTCTCCTTCTCCTGACCTACTTGCCTTTTTCCTCCCCACAGCCCTCGCGAGATGCCGGGCCAGCTGGCGGCCTGTCTGCTTTCTGGTCCTGCTCTTCCTGGGGTCCACTCTCTTCCACTGCCTCCAGCGCCTGGCTCAGGTGCCAGGCCCCTGGGCCTCGCCGGCCCGCGTGGCGCTCGCCCCCAGACACCTGCCTCGGGAGGGCATGCTCACCATCAACTCCAAAGGACGGCTGGGGAACCAGATGGGCCAGTACGCCACGCTGTTCGCGCTGGCCAAGATGAACGGGCGGCCGGCCTTCATCCCCGCGCAGATGCACAGCTGGCTGGCGCCCATCTTCAGGATCAGCCTGCCGGTGCTGCACCACAGCACGGCCCGCAGCGTCCCCTGGCGGAACTACCCCCTCAACGACTGGATGGAGGAGCGGTACCGCCACATCCCGGGGAAATACGTGCGCCTCACCGGCTACCCCTGCTCCTGGACCTTCTACCACCACCTCCGCGACGAGATCCTGCGCGAATTCACCCTGCACGCCCACGTGCGCGAGGAGGCGCAGAAGGTCCTGCGGGGCCTGCAGGTGAACGGCAGCCGGCCCGGCACCTTCGTGGGAGTCCACGTGCGCCGTGGCGACTACGTGCGCGTCATGCCCAGTGTGTGGAAGGGCGTGGTGGCCGATCGGGGCTACCTGCGGCGGGCCCTCGGCTGGTTCCGGGCCCGCTACCGCTCCCCGGTCTTTGTGGTCACCAGCGACGACATGGCCTGGTGCCGCCAGAATATCGACCGCTCCCTCGGGGACGTGGTGCTCGCGGGCAGCGGCCGGCAGCGCTCGCCCGCCAGGGACTTCGCGCTGCTGGCGCAGTGTAACCACAGCGTCATCACGGTGGGCACCTTCGGCATCTGGGCCGCCTACCTGGCGGGCGGGCGCACCGTCTACCTGGCCAATTTCACCCGGCCCCACTCTCCCTTCCATTTTGTCTTCAGGCCCGAAGCGGCCTTCCTGCCAGAGTGGGTGGGCATCCCTGCGGACCTAGGCCGCGCAGGAGATGGGGTCCTCTAGCCCGCACCCCGAAACGCACAGGGGTGCAGGGGGGGGCACAGGGCCTGAGTCAGCATCAAGACTCCTGAATTTGAAGCCAGCTCCTTCTGCTGGCCACGTGGGTGACCTCACAACCTCCCTATGCCTAGTGTGCCCCTGAGAAGTGAACCTCACATAAAACTGGCTCACTCAGCTCTTGGGAGGACCCGAGGCGTTGGCTTAGTGCCTGGCCACCTCTGGTGTGTATGGGTGGAATGGCATATGTGGGGGTGGCGTGCCCTGAACCTTTTCCCTGCTTTAAGGCGGGAAGGCACTTCTATCCTCTCCACCACAGGGTTTCCTGTCCTCAGGGGAAGGGAAACCCGGTGTGTTTGTTTGGTAGCTAAGAACGCAGGCTTTGGGGCTCGTGGGCCCTTATCCTGAATGAACGTAGGGGATGCACCTTGGGAGAGAGGGGGCATCCCCTAAAACTGAGGAGGAGGGTCTTGGGCTCAGACAGCCTCCGAGGGGGAGGGAGGGCCTCGTGGTGTCACCGAACCTCTGTCTGCTCACCCATAGGCCATCAGTGAGGGGCAGCCAGCTATCTCCAAGGGCCGCAGAGACCAGGGAGTTTGCTCAGCCTGACCGCCTACACCCTGGTTCTAGTGGTGACATGAGAAAGCCCAGTCTGGGGTTGTACTCAGGGATGACAAAGTGGTTGTCCTGTGTTCATTGTGCTTTAAGTGTAGAGAAACCCATGCCCTGAGTTGGTCCTCCCTTGGGATCTATGTATTCGTAAAAACTCTTTGGAATATGGTCATTTATGGCACCTCCCTGGTGCCATAATGGGTTAAAGCGCAGCACTATGAAGCTATCGCAGCCACTGCAGCATGAGTTCGATCCCCGGCCGGGGGGTGACTCACATAGCACAGTAGCCCTCTCCTGTCTCCCTGCTGCTCCCCTCAGCAGTGTGCTTCGTCAGTCTGCCTGTTCTGCACCCCACTCTGTCTCTGGTGAGTCTCCTCACGCCCCACTCCTCTGGCCTATACCCCAATTCTTGTATGCATAAATAAATAGATCTTTAAAATAAAATAAAATTTCCACTGAACATAGGTGTGCTGGTTTAAGACATTTCAATGGCAGCTTGTCAACCTTTTCAATCCCTTCAACTGTCTTGTTTATTCGAATCCCCATGCCCTTTTCCTTTTTAAACGCTGAAGTGGTTATGGCCAGCTTCACAGTGCTGAGCTTTAACCCACTGAGCCACCAGGAGGCCCCCTGGCCTGCTTCCGAGCTCACACGCCTTCTCTATAAGGTGTTAATAATCCGGCATTTTCCCATCATCTCAGCCATAATCTACTTCCTCATGTCCACAATGCAGTCACCAAGGGTGTAGAGATGAGGATAGGGGGTGTTCAAGAAAGTAGAAGGCTGGGAAGGAAGCAAAAGCAACATGGAGGTGGGGAAGGCCCTCAGGGCCAGCGCATTACTCCTGTGCGCTAAATTACCCCAGACAGCTCAAACGACAAGCATTTATTCTGTCTTCCACTTTCTGTGGACCAGGAGTTCAAGAGTGGCTTCTTGGGGGCTTCTCTTTGGGGTGCCCAAATAGAAGGTCTCTGTCAGGTGTCATGAGGGCGGGGCCCTCCTGACTGAAAAGAGCTGCAAGAGTGATTCTTTCTCCCTCCTGCGAGGTCACACCAGGAAAGTGCCCGTGTGCACACAGGAAAGCTGTCTCTCACCACAAACCAGAGGAACGGGCCTTGTTTGTGGATTCCCAGGCTTCGACCTGGGAGGGAGACTTGTCTGTTGTTTAAGTCACACCATGCACGGCATTTTTATTAGAACAGCCCGAACAGACTGAGCGTCTAAGGGCTCCTTCGCTCCGAGACTTCCTGCAGGGTGGGTCACTGGGAGCGGAGTCCAGGAATCACAGAGAGGAGGTAGGTACTAACGCGGGCTAAGAGCAGCAAGTTTATGGAGGCATAACAGCACCAGGACCTGGAGGCGGGGGTAGAAATGACGACCCTAGCTGTTAAACCGGCTCTAGAAATGAAAATTCCTCAGGCGCCAGCTGCTATAGCAGGTGCCAGAGAGTGTCCGGGGCAGACCCGAGGTGGGAGGTGGAGGCTGGGGGCCTTGATAGAGAAGCCCGCCCTTACAAATCCTCTGGCCAGGGCTGGAACTCTTGCTGCAGTGGCTTCGACAGACTCAGAGTCTGCGCTTTAACTCCTTGTAAAGTCACTGATTTAACAACCGGTAACAATTACACAAAAGAATGAACATCTCTCTAAAAGGAGCGTCAATACAATCTCCACACTGCCCTGCCCGCCTCCACTGCCCGCCTGTAGTTTCTCCTTTTCCTAATTAACCTAATTAACCTTTTAAAATATGAAGTAGGGTCCTCCCTGGCTACACAAGGCCCTGAGTCTCAGCACTGTGAAGCTATCACTGCAGCACGAGTTCAATCCCCAGCCAGGGAGTGACCCACAGGGCACAGCAGACCTCTCCCGTGTCCCCACTGCCCCCCTCAGCAGTGGATTTCAGTTCATCGGCCTGTTCTGCTCCCCACTTTGTCTCGGGTGAGTCCTCTCAGCCCCCACCTCTGGCCTGTACCCCAGCTCTTGTATGCATAAATAAATAAATAAATCTTAAGTAATTTTAACAGTAGGACAGAGCAGAACAAATAATCTTTAAATTTATGTTTAAATAAATCTTTAAAACAAATAAACGGTTAAGGAGAAGATGAGAAATTCTAGCTAGGACCCTATAAAAGGCCACCCCAGTCCTTTTAAAACCACAGCTGTTTGCCCGTGTGGGTCTAAGCACGGGTCTTTCCCCCTGAACAACACCGCCTTTCTCAGCTTGTGCCTAAGTTCTCTTTCCACAGTAAATACTGCTTGCCCCGTTAAAGGCGCTTTGTTGAATTTATGCTCAAATGAATTGTCCTCACTTGGGATACAAGTGGGGAAGTAGCCGCACCCCCTACTTCCCCTTCCCAGAGCACCCTGGTGTGATGCAGGTGCTGGGGGTGGGGGGAGACTCAGAGACCCATCCTCAGAGCCGCCCCACACTGGGGCTCCCCGGAGGCCCCAGCCCGAAGACCCCGGTGGACGCCTGGGCTGGCTGCTAGTGCTGGTGGGTGGCGAAGATCCGCAGTTAGGTCTGTTTGTGAACGCCACGGTGACCTCGTGTCCTTTTCCGTCTTCAAAGTACCTTCTTTCTTGTGTTTGGAAGAGGAAGTTGACAGCTCTAAAGCAGGAGTTGGCCAGCCATCAGTAACAAATGGCATAAATTCACTCAACAAATATTTGCTGACCTCTGTTGGGTTTGCAAGTTCAAAGCAGAAAGGCCTTTCCCTGCCCCTTCCTGGAGGAGACACACGGAAGCCCAGAAGCCCAGGAATGACTTATTTCTCCAAAGGTGGAATCTGGTTCCAGCAGACCAAGTCCTTACTGATACCTCATAGATTCTTAGAAACGGTGACTAAGCAAACCTATGTGTAACAACCAACTTGACCACAGGCTGATCGATGCAAGTAAGAGTCAAGTTCTTTTTTTTTTTTTTTAAGATTTATTTTACTTATGCACACAAGAACTGGGGTACAGGCCAGAGGTGTGGGGGTGAGAGGACTCACCAGGGATAGTGGGGAGCTGAACAGGTAGATTTACTGAAATCCACTGTTGAGGGGAGCACTGGGGAGACAGGAGAGGTCTGCTGCGCACTGGGGGTCACTCCCTGGCCGGGGACTGAAGTCATGCTGTTATGGCTGCTAATAGCTTCATAGTGCTGTGCTTTAACCCTTGGCACCAACAGGGAGTCCCAAGAATCAAATTCTTTTCTTTTTTAAAGAGTTATTTATTTATGTACTCAGAACTGGGGTACAGGCCAGAGGTGCAGAAGCAGTAAGAGGATTCTCCAGAGACTGATTGGGGAGCAGAACAGGCAGATGGACGAAGTCCACTGCTGAGGGGAGCAGCAGGGAGACAGGAGGGGTCTGCCACGCCGCGCTCTGTGGGTCTCCTGGGCCAGGATTGAACTGGAGCTGAAACTGCTGCAGTTAGCTTCTTAGCAGTGCTACGCTTTAACCTGTTGCACCACCAGGGATGCTCCCCCAGAGACAAATTCTTAAGGCTTATTTCTAGTCATACACAAAAAATCACCAAATCTCTAAAGGAGAGCTCAAATCATTCTAACTTGAAACAATCATTCGTATTCATTCGTCCATTCGTTTCCCCACTCCCTCACTCCAGGCCAGGGCTCTGGCCTGGGCAGGCTGTCCTTCCATGCAGCGCGACGCCCCACACCCACACTCCAACTCCAACATGGGAGACACCCACGGAACCTGGCCATTTATCTCTGGGGTCCCAGGGGAACGGGGCAGGTAATGCGGACCAGACACAGAGAGCGGTCCTGGCTGGGGATCGACCCTGACTATCTCTATGTCGTCAGAATAAAATGGCCTGGAATGATCTGACGTTGCTCAAGGGCCTGCTGCCCCTCCCCAGCATGAAGCAAACTACGTGTACATGGTTGGCTTGTGCCCGCAAACGACAGCTGAACACCTGACCCCTAGCGCCTGTGAATGCAACCTTACCTGGACAGCGCTCTTCAGGACACAATCTGGTAAAATGAGAGTTCTCCTTTAGAGTGGGTGTGCCCTCACCTAACCTGACAGTGACCCTCTCATGATGACAGAGGCAGAAACTGACTTGGAGTCCCTGAACTGTGAGAAGAGTACTGGCCATTGTTTTGAGACACCCAGTTCTCAGCGTGTTATTCCAGCAGCCCCAGGAAATGGCAGTATTTAGCCTGTGTTAATTGAATTAAACAGGCAGCCAGCCAGTGCTTCTGGCTTAGCACGTTAGCAGATTAGAGAGGACAGGTTTCTGGCTGCTTGGCCTGAGGTCTGTGTTTCTGATAGAGCTGGGAACACAGTGGCCACGGAGGGGACAACGTGGTGAATCAAATAGGAGGGGACCTGGTCGCTCCTGGGAAGCTTCTAGGAGCTAGAAAGGTGTAGGCCGTGAGTAACCTGTAAC